AGAAACAGAAATAAGCTCTGCGGGGTGACGAGGGTTCCGGCCAATCGGAACAGATGGTGCGTCCCAGACAGGACGTCGCGCCTTATTTCTTTATGTAGGCAAGATAAAGGCGCGACGTACTGTCTGGGACGCACCATCTGTTCCGATTGGACGGAACCTTCCTCTCCCCGCATAGCTGATTTCTGTTTCTCTTTAATTTGTAATTCCATTAAATCGTCCTTAACAAAATAGGGGGCCCTGATTTTGAAAAACTGATAACGGAATTCGACAACCGACATGATTTGACATATTTTGGTAAAAACCGCGTTGAAATCCGCCAGGTCGTTTTCGAAATAACCGCATCCTACTCAACCGCGATTTTCCACGAAATTATAATGGAATATCGAAAAAATAACCAGTTCAAATTTGAAATTTTTTCATCAAATAGTTTTGGATAAAAAAATCGCAAAGTAGACAAAGTTGCTGGCACTCTCAAAAATGGGGTAGTTTTTTCACTTAACTCGCGATAAAAGAAAAACCGCGGACCCGAAAATTTTCAAATTAACATATGATACGCAGAAATGTTCACTGATTACAATAAACTTTACTGCAATTTTTTCCATCGAGCGTTTACGAAGATATCGATCTCTAAAGTAAGGGGTCTTGACTTTTTGCACGGATAGTAGTCGAATTCTTAATTCCTATAACCAAGGCTTCAACCATGTATCTCTCTTTAACGTTTCTTTACGCTCTTTTAGAAAATGCGTACTAACTAACTTAGCGGATGTTTTGTCGATCGCTTTATTGTTGTATTTATTTTAGTTTAGTTACAATTTTTTATATTAATTTTTCGTTTTAATGAGGATGCTTTGTTGGGGACATTCTCCCTGTATGCATCCCGAATATGTAATAAATAAAATAAAATTACATACAGTACATTTCGAATGTAAAGCATACATGCAAAGAAAGCAGCTTTGAAGCTAAGATATGTAACTGATTTTGTCATGATCCGCCAATATTTGATATATTATTATGTAGTTGACTGTGTTTAAGATGTATAAGAAAACCTTTTAGAAACTCACTTTACAATTAGTTATTTATAATTCATGCAACAAAATAAATTATTGAATGGATTAGTAAGAGTAGGAGGGCGTTTTTACATATACTAATAAAATGAATGATTTACTAATTAAAACAATTAAAAAAACTTACTTTCATTTTAATAATTTTTTAATTAGTGTATCATTATCAATTTCAAAATGTTTTCAATACTTACTCTGGATTATAACAAATTGCAAACGTTTTCTTAACTATATGAAATTGTGTGGGTGGCACATTCTGATGATTATAAATTGTAAAAAGAAATGCTTTATCTGAAGCCAAATAATGAGTTTTTCCTTGTGGTCTTTTGAAAGCAACGTCACTAAAACCACCGCAAATTTCGCCTCTTGTACCCAAAACAATAACATATAAAGGTGCAATTCCATCACAATGTCGATGAAAAGCTGTCGCGGAAAATCCATGACTACTGGCTCTATAAAGTAATCTCCAAGATTGCTTTGAATTCCCATACCAAGCATTTAAGATTCTTTGAAAATGGCTCTTATCATGACCTATTATGTGTGAATTTGGAAATAAATGTGGTGAAATTCTTGGTCGCAATCTTTGATCTTCATTTGATTCCAAGTATTTGCTTGGAAGAGCTGCATGTCGATATCTTTCTAAACTTAATTCCATTGGAACCGCGCCGGTTGGTTCAACTTCTTCAGCAAATACTTGACTGTCTATTAATAAAAGTCTTACATGACCAATTACAGTAGCTAAGTGTTGACAAACTCTTGCTCGTTCTTCTTCTGTCCAATGAGCTGTTGGTTGAGTTACACCTGCTTGGTATTTAGCCCAATTTAAAACTGCTCTCCATACATCTTCTTCTTCAAGATATAACTAGCAAAAATTACATATCAATTAATCACAATTACTTAAAAAATAAATATAATTTACATAATCAGATGAAATTAATTTAATAACTGCATCTTTTGAAAGTGATAAAAATGAATTTGTTTTTACACATTCTGCTGCATTTTCTCCAATAAAACTAGTACATCGTTCCACAAAAGCCGCCGCTGCTTTCCCACCTAAAAAACATTTGTAAAATCAAAAAGAAGTTTTTAAAAATAATAAGGACAATAATAATTTATTAAAAAAACGACACAATTCTTCAAAATAATGTTTATTCCTATTCATCTTAACATTACAATCCTTAAGAACTAATCTTAATAATACACATCAGAATTTAAACATCATTCTTAATTTTCTAATTCTCATTCCGGGTTAACATTTTGTATCAAAGTAATGTTATCTCCTTTCAGCATAATTCGCCCCAATTGCCTCCTGTGTTTCGTTTTGGTGTAATATTCTTCAGCATCGTCCAAAACTAAGTTCATATACTCATCGAAACCAACGATGTGGCCCTCGATTCGCAGATTAACGTTTTCATATAACCACACTTGAACTCGCGACCGGTTTTGTAAATAACGGAAAATTAGGTTAATGGGTTGTACCATTACCTTTTGAACTTTTTGTGGTTTAAAAGCCATCGTTTGTGTTAATTATTTACTTTAATCGTGAAATAAATAGTGTTGGTGCCAAAACGTTTTAGTGACGCCGAAAATTTTAGGTTAGGTTGTAATTTTGATAGATCAGAAATTTACCGTTTTTTTTATAGATGGCGCTACTACAATTAGGTGAAATTTAACATTTTATTTAAGTTGTGTCATTAATTTGTGGACATTTTATGGTTGTCTCAATTTATATTAATTTTTCAGATTTTTTGGGAAAAATTGATTTTTGCAAAAACGTTTTTGTAATTATAACACTTCATAAACTTGGACAATTCATTCATAGATGGCTCCACAATAATCGCGGGAAATTTTAAAAATAAACATTCTCTGATTTTAATGATATCACTGTGGAACATTTTCGGGGTCATTTTCTGCCGGGTAATTCCAAGTCAGGATGAAAGTACTTGGCCAGTATAGTAAACCCTCCAAAGGGTTTGGCGTTCTCAGCCCAAAATTTTTTTTTATGACCTTTTATATTTCTTTCCTTATCTTGGTGTTTGTTTGTTTAGTTTTTCAGTAATAACTCAATAATCATTGATGATTTCTCATTTCATTCTTCAGCAAAGACTAAGGCTTAGCTAAGGCTTAAAAAAATAATTTTCATTAATATATCTATGTAAAAAATTAAGTTGGACTAATTTTATCGACTGAAATCTTCAAAAAATTCTCAAATTTCGAAAAAAAAAACTTGTCTTTGAAAAATAACGTCTTTACTCGAGAGTTCTACGAATTGTAACTATAAAAGAGTATTCTAATGTAAGTATTATATAGTAATATAGTAATACTATTGTAGAGAGAGACTGTTTTCCTCTGTATCTGCGATTTGTTTTGTATTAAAAAGAGTTTGAAAAAAGATATCATAGATATTACCTAATGTCAAATGGCATAGCAACTTGATGATAGCGTTCGCCTTGTTCATCAGATTCAGTGGCCAATTGTCTGCTGAAGTAGTCCAGATGATGATGTAAATAGTGAATTTTCAAGGACAAGTGGCCGCCAATTTTCGAGAACGATGTTAACATCCTTCCGATAGAAACATCGTAGTTGCTAGAATGATGCTTTCCTAACAAGCCTTCTTTAATTGCCTTCCAAACATCCAATTCAGCGTCAATCAAAATATTGCTGAATGCGTCACTTTTAATAAGCTTTCGTATATCTGGACCATTTAGTACGCCTGATGGAAAAAATGAACAAATTTGATGATTTTACGCGAAAAATGGAAGTGTGTAAGCCAGATATAAATAGCTTTTGCTATTGCTATGTACCAAAACATGAAGAACAGGGAAATTTCAGTGCATATTTTGTTCAAACATACGAGATGTACTTCTATCAAAATGTTATAGTGAACAAAAATTGGGTGCCAAATATAGTGTGTAAAAGTTGTTACAATAGTCTAATGGATTGGAAAAATAGAAGACGTGAATCTATGCCATTCGGTATTCCAATGATTTAGAGTAATCCTGGCGACGGTCATAATCTATTGAATTGTAACGCATGTGCTAATAAAGGAGCCGCATTAAGAAAAACGGAAAGAAAATCGTATAATTACGTTGGTGTTGCAAGTGGCCAAAGACCCTTGCCTCATTCGGCCTACATTCCTGTGCCAAAATGTTTCAGTCCAGATGTTCTATCTTCTGTGACTGTTCCGACTTTTACACCAACATATGATTCAAGTGATTATCCCTCATATGATCCCGAACCATCTGTATCCAATCAGCCTATTTTAATAAATCAAAATCAGCTTGATTCCATTGTTGCTAAATTGGAATTGACACAGCATAAATCGGAACAGCTGGCTTCGTTTTTGAAATCAAACAAATGTTTTGGCACCCGTTACGAAAGTCACAGCTTATCGAAGTCGTCAGGCAACACTCTAAAGTTTATTTGTTGTGAATAATGAAAAAACTTCTGCATATTGCTCGAATGTAGTAAAATTGATGGACGCAATGGAAACAGAATATGAAGCAGATGACTGGAGATTATTTATTGACAGTTCAAAACTCAACTTGAAAGCGGTTTTGCAGCATAAGACCAATGAAAAACCTTCGGTTCCAATCGCGTATAGTACAGAAACGAAAGAAACATATAATGCACTACAACATATTTTAAAAATGGTTAACTACGCTAAACATATGTGGCGCATATGCTGCGATTTAAAAGTTGTAGCATTGCTTTGCGGCCTTCGAAGCGGCTATATAAAATATATGTGCTTTTTGTGCGATTGGGACACAAGATTTACCGGAGACCAACCAATATGCATGCCACGAATGGAATCATAGAGAGCACAGCAGGTTAGAAATGACCACTATTATTCGTGCACCTCTGGCTATTGCTTCACTGCACATTAAACTTGGAATTGTTAAGAATTTCATCAAATCTGCCGCCAAACGAGATACAGTTTTCTTGTGTTTGAAATTAATTTACCCGAGACCCAGCGAAAGTAAAATTAAAGACGGTAGTTATAATAACATACATTTGTTCAATTTCGTGGAAAATTACACCTTTCCCAAACATATTTCTCATGATTTTCTATTGCAATAAATTCATTTTGCTATCAGGCATACTAAATGGTCTAGATATACTAAAGCTTATTAAAAGTTTGACAATATTTTGATAGACGCTGAATTGGATGCTTGGAAGGCAATTAAAGAAGTAATAGAAGACTTGTTGGGAAAGCATCGTTCTAGCAACTACGATGTTTCTGTCGCAAGGATGTTAACATCGTTCTCGATGATTGGCGTCCACATGTCCTTGAAAATTCACTATTTACATCATCATCTGGACTACTTCAGCAGACAATTGGCCACCGAATCTGATGAACAAGGCGAACGCTATCATCAAGTTGCTATGCCATTTGAAATTAGGTACTAAATGGTCCAGATATACGAAAGCTTATTAAATGTGACGCATTCAACAATATTTTGATTGACGCTAAATTGGACGCTTGGAAGGCAATTAAAGAAGTAATAGAAGGCTTGTTGGGAAAGCATCGTTCTAGCAACTACGATGTTTCTGTTGCATCATCTGGATTACTTCAGCAGACAATTGGCCACTGAATCTGATGAACAAGGCGAACGCTATCATCAAGTTGCTATGCCATTTGAAATTAGGTAATATCTACGAGATTTTTTTTCAAACTAATTTTAATAAAGAAACAAATCCCAGATACAGAAGAAAACAGTCGCCGAGTGCAATTCTTGCGGAAATTCGCTGGTGGAGTAGACATGTGTTCGAAGACATAGATTATCCTGATGATGAAGAATTTTCACAAGTTGCAGTAGAGTCAGCAATGGAGTCACAAGTTGACATTATGTATGGCTTAGAAATTGATGACAGCGATAATTGCGATAGCGATGGCACTAGCCCCGAACAATCACCATCGAAAAAGCCTAGACTCTAGAGCAATGTTTATGAACATATAAACTTTGTTCTTCTTGAAACTTTGTTTGTCCTTAATTTTTGTTATTACTCTTCGGGTAGGAATACTCAGGTCTATAGCCCTTTTGGACTTATCTTATATTTGTTTTATATATGTATTTTTTTTTATTTATTCGTATTTGTTATAGTTATTATTTTTATATTCCAACTAAATATTGTTCTCTCTCTCTAATACAGTACTACTATATTACTATACAGGGTGTCTCACGTAACTGGTTCGTTAGAACTTTTTTAGGTTCGAGTATTCGTACAGTTTTGAAATTTTGGTAGTATGGGTTGTTCAGTCGGAACTTTCGATCTAAAATATTTTCAAGATGGCTGCCACTTCCGGTCTACCGGAAGTAGACCATAACTTCGTTATTTTAAATGGAATGCACTAGTTTTTATTACACCTTTTAATTGTACACAAAAAAATATGTTGACTTTCATAAAAGTTATTGGTACCTAGCGTTTTTCGTTTTCGAGTTATTTTGATTTTAAGGTTTTTTTGGCAAATTTCACCATGCTCTTTAAAATCCTATATTCCAGCCAACGTTCATTCAAATAAGCTCTAAATTGGCATGATTACTCTTCAGATGCTCTCAAATAGATTGTATCAGAGTATCTTATACAGGCTGGTCAAAAATTGAATTACCGTTTCTCCGTATTCAATGGGGAGAAAGTTGAAAATTTTAAATAGAACGCCCCATATTTTATTAACCTAGAAGAAAGGAAATTTAATTCTCTACAATTTATCTATAAACATTACTATACCTATCTATTGTAGTTCTCTCATATTCGTAAATTTATCAAAACATGCAGGAAATGCAGGAAACCGTTTGTATTTTTATTAGAAGGCCATGACATTTTGACAGTTTTTTGTTTAATTTATTTCTATTATTATTTGTACTATTAATTACGATTGATAATCTTTTAGTTTACTAGCTTTTACTTACCAAAAATAATAAACAGAAGATCAAATAAATGAAACTATTAAAACAAAAAGTTAATGACAAAAATTAGATTTGNGAAGGGTTCCCAGATCTGATATCGAAAAAGTCTTGCGACTTTAGTCGACAGAAGACAGCAGTGTCCAACGAATTCCAATAAATATTCGTGGGATGGAATGTAAGATACTTCCACCAGTAATAAAATTTACAAGAATGTCATCAGAAATGCGATTGTGCCTCAATACTTAAGCAACCTGACCTTAGCTTTACGGACTCCAGTACAGCCTTCTTGGAGATTTCCACGCAAATACATTTTCTAGAAAGTCTGCTAATGAGGAATAATGATGATTTTAAATGAGCCTATTTACACAACCACCATTGCTGCCCATCACCATGAAACGACACTTAAGCACAGAAGTATTAGCTAAATGCTAGATGCAGTAAGAAAAATTGGCTCACTAACATGTACAGATACGTGCTTGTAGACCTAGTAAAGGGTATCATATCTACATAAATCGGGTGGCAGTGTCTATGCTTCTAATCCAATTATAACAAACATCAACATTATGATGCAGTTAGTATGAAATACATAGGATTGCTAGGTCTGAACTACCTCTTCACTACTTCAATTGAACTAATACCTTTACCCACTCTTGTGTGGTTCATTTGCAAAGATTTACAAACCAAGGTTATCCATCTTTTCGTGTTTCTTTGGACTATCAACTATTGTACTGGTTTTACAAGAATTCCCAAGAAATCTTGAAGCTTAATAATCTTTGACGTATTCCACGAATAGCCGAATTAACGATTGTCGTTGCGATAAGCACCAAGCGAAATAATAATACTGAGCTGCTTTCGGCAGATGGAGGTTACCAGAAAAATAAGAAACAAGCTAAAATGAGCGATTTGGAAAACACAAATGGAAACAAACGACTAAAATATAGATCTATACGTAAAAGACTGCGTAAAAAATACCAAAGAATCATCACACAAACATAAATACATAAAAGACACTCAATAGCTAGAGGAGGATTTTGATATGAGCATAGAAAAGCAAAAAAAAAATAAGTACTTATAAACTTTATAAGGAAACTTTATCTAGAATTGAGTTCCTCTAGTCAAAGAACCCTGCAAATATTCGGAAAACTTTTAGAAGTTATTGCCAGGTTAGGTATAAGACAGCAAGCAAATTAAAGATAGGACAAAAATTGCAATGAACACTATACTTGGCTGGTGTATCAAAAATAAGATGAAAATCATACTATTATGGTAGGAAACCTAATCAGGGACCCTATAGTTAAAAGAGATATATAGCGAGGTCGATAAAATGCAAAAAAAGTTCATATACCTTGATACACTTAGGAAAACGGTTCAATAACACTGACGAGTAGTGTGTTGAGGTTACCACATACAGCAATATAGATTTACACGATCACAGTCATAGCTAGAATAATGAAGAATTCAACGTGCACAGTTAAATTCACAGCTTCTTTTTCTTCTTCTTTTTGCATATATCTAGCACCACTAGGGTTAACTAGTTAACTATGCTTTATCAGCCTGTTCTATAACCACCACTAGATGTGGTGATTCTTTGAGCCATTTTTACTCGGAGGTCAGGTAGGTGGCTAACCTCACTTGTGAGGAGGAGTTTTTGTTGTATTAACGACGATTGTAGCTAACGACGTAGGTTACACGGGCTGATTGCTTAACGTGCCCACCTGACGCGCAGTGCGGGATGCGACCTCTAATTTTATGAAGAGATAAAAAAAAGTGATATGGTTGCATTGTCACAAGAACATTACCTATGGATCTTTGAAGACAGCAGCTTCCTCAGTTTTAGATGAGAAAACCAAGAGAAAGTAGTTAGGTTCATAAAAACAGGCATTATCAACTTTGTGGTATATGTAATATATTATTTGATTATATAGCAGGTACATTGCTTGGCTTCAAACCCGGAAAAAGGAAGATTTGATCATCTTCCCATCAAAAAGAAAGACTGGAAATGACAACGACAGACATCAAAGCAGAAAACTAGCAGATGCAGACAAATCAGGAGACTATGAGAAGAAATTGACACTAAGTCTTTATTTGTCTTTCAACATATCTTTTGTTTGGGCTGCAAAAGAAAAGCTAATATTTTCTGAATAACTCTCGAAATCGTAGATGAATCAAATTTGATCGGTGGAGTCGGGGCATGAGTGTACGACCAGAAATGATGGCAGCAATTAAACGCGATGGGATTTGTTACGATATGGTCACCATTACAAGCCGAAATTGTACTCATTCTCCATGAATATTCCTGCACTCCGTTCAATCATCTCAGTTTGGGCTTTTCTTCTTATTTTATCCTTCAGGATTTTCTAACTTCAGGTTGCCCGTGGTACTTTATACACATGATAGCAGGAGCTTGTACCGATTCTACAGATATCATTTTCATTTCTTGAGAACTTTATTATTTTATGTTAAAAATTGACATCTAAAGTATGCTATAAGACCACAGTAGGCTGTATTTGTTTCCGTTAACTTACTCAGGTTTCTTTACTGTAATATTAAATGTATATGCTATGGATCATAAATATATACATACATTTGACCACATCATCACAAGAGTGCCCTCATATTTAGTAGGAATAGGTAAATAATATATATTGAAGACTGGAATAAGAATTACCAATTAAAGTTGCCAAAAATTGTAAGGCTAGAGTAAGTCATTCTTGAGTAGCGATTGCTTTTCGAAATGTCTTATTTCTAAACGCAATTTTGTGCTCAATAAACGACAAAAAAAATTCAAAATCATTATGGTGCATCTTAACAAAATTTTTATACAATCCACTTACATATTGAAAATTGAAATCGACTAGTAAATTTGACGACACTGCTCTCTACTTGCGGATAACTTAGTCATCCGCACGTCGCGTCGTGCATTTAGCATCTTTTTTAAAGTGAGAAAAATAAAAATCTAAGCGACTCCTGCTATTTACTTCCCTCACCAAGACATACTGGAATATTTTGGAACACTATTTGCTCGTATCGATGCTCATTGCACATCTGATTTAGAATACATTGACATTGCGTTGGATCGTTGCATATCGTTTCATGATACCAGGATACACAACAAATGTTAATACCCATTATTTTTTTGGGATCCCAAAATACCGAGGGCTCCTATGGTTAGCCATACATAGGAGTCGCAGATTTTGGGTTTTAATTGGCTTTTGACTTTTCCTCCCCTCCCCCCTCCTATATCACCATCCCGACCTTATCCTTTTGTTTAATCGTTGTGCAACATAATATGGCTTCTTCATTTTTCGACCTTTTAATTTTGTAATGCAGTGTGTGTTTAATTTGGTTTAATTTTCAAGTTTTTACACGTTTTGTAATACGTGTAAAACGTACATATCATACAGGAATTGTCTGTTTTCTTCGACCTTTTAATTTGTGATATAGTATGTGTTTATTTTAATTTCGTATTTTACACGCTTTAAATTCTACATACGTATTTAGTTACTTTTTAAATTTAGATATCAACATAAAAACATGTTATTTACATTTTTCGATCCAGTTGTTAAGACATTTTCGACACGTTGTCATGACTGATTGTAAAAATTGTTTTATCTCTAAAATCTGCCCAGTTGTGATTTTTAAACGGAATTTCGCCATTAGTTTATCAATATAATAGTTTCTGTTGTTNTCGATAAAATTAGTACAACTTAATTTTTTACATGGATATATTAATGAAAATTATTTATTTATCCTTAGCTAAGCCTTAGTCGTTGCTGAAGAATGAAATGAGAAATCATCAATGATTCTTGAGTTATAACTGAAAAACTAAGCAAACAAACATCAAGATAAGGAAAGAAATATAAAAGGTTATACAAAAAAATTTGGGTTGAGAACGCCAAACCCTTTGGAGGTTTTACTATATTGACATAGTACTTTCACCCTGACTTAAAATTTTTCACCCCCCAGAATGGCTGTTGTACAGTGTATTTAGTTTTAAAATATTTATAAAAAGCTTACCTGGTGTACGATCATGAATATCCATAGCTGTGGCTAAAAATGTACATGCTGAAGCAACTGAAAGGGTTGAAGTAACATGGTCTTCACAAGCATTTCTTAATTCGTCAACACCAAGTTCTTGGGCTAAAGCTAACATTTCGAAAACACTACTGTCTTGTAACAAAATCTGAAAAATAATGTTTTTTTAGTTTTACCCGAAAAGTTAATTTTTGTACAATTTTACCTTTCCTGTATAAACATATAAAAGAAATTGTTTAAACGTTTCAACTGGTGCTTGTGGTAATCTAATAGGAATAGGTGTTCCTGGTGGAGTTGATTGAACGGAACAACCAGGAATACGACACACTTCGCCGCGTTTACAATTTTGGAAGCTTTTACATCTGTTTACAAAAAAATATTAACGGTAAGTAATCTTCAAAGGTTTTATTTGATTAGGTTTAAATTAAGGTCCTCTGTCCGATGATTTGAGAAGAGAAAGAAGGACTCTCAATTCCGTTTCAATTCGAAATTAAAAATAAATCAGCGCTTTACCGAGTACCGTCAAGCCCTGATGGAAAATTAATTAAGTACGAATCCAATAGACATCAATATAAAAGTGTGGATATTGTATAGCTGCGGGAGAGAAAGTCCAATATCGCTCGGGAAATGAATCTTCTGGGAGTGCTTTTCGAGACGATCCCGCTCGATGTTGCTCTGCTTTTGCTTCCGCCCCCGGGCTATTGATGTAAGTGTCGACAGGATAAACGTTTTCCCTCGATCCCAAGGCAAAAACGCAGGACTACTCGGAACGGAGGAATCGCGCTTTATGAAAATATTCGGGATAATGTTTGAAGTCGACAGGGAAATGCTAAAGTCAAACAAAGCATACCCATTTGGAATTTTTATCTAAAAAGTGTGTTTTAAGGAAGATTACAAAAATTTTACATGTTTAATAAAAAAAATTGGAGTGAATATTTTATTTTTGCAAAGATTTAAGTTAATGGTAAATTGATAATTGACAATTCAGACTTAATCTTAATAAAATCTAATTTAATTATCCTAATTTTTTCGTGTAAAGTTTTGTCAATGACAGAGATAATTTCTATAGCGAGTATGTTGAAGTGAATCTGTCATGATAGGTTATTATCCTTGTGGAGGAGTTTATCGAAGCTGTCGTGTTGAAATAGACAGTCAAATTGAAATTGATACAAAGTAAATGTCTGTGGTGTGACGACATGTTTATTGTAGGAGTAAACCATGAAGGGTTCCCAGATCTGATATCGAAAAAGTCTTGCAACTTTAGTCGACAGAAGACAGCAGGGTCCAACGAATTCCAATAAAAATTCGTAGGATGGAATGTAAGATACTTCCACCAGTAATGAAAGTTACAAGAATGTCATCAGAAATGCGATTGTGCCTCAATACTTAAGCAACCTGACCTTAGCTTTACGGACTCCAGTACAGCCTTCTTGGAGATTTCCACGCAAATACATTTTCTAGAAAGTCTGCTAATGAGGAATAATGATGATTTTAAATGAGCCTATTTACACAACCACCATTGCTGCCCATCACCATGAAACGACACTTAAGCACAGAAGTATTAGCTAAATGCTAGATGCAGTAAGAAAAATTGGCTCACTAACATGTACAGATACGTGCTTGTAGACCTAGTAAAGGGTATCATATCTACATAAATCGGGTGGCAGTGTCTATGCTTCTAATCCAATTATAACAAACATCAACATTATGATGCAATTAGTATGAAGTACATAGGATTGCTAGGTCTCTACTACCTCTTCACTATTTCAATTGAACTAATATCTTTACCCTCTCTTGTGTGATTCATTTGCAAAGATTTGCAAACCAAAGTTATCCATCTTTTCGCGTTTCTTTGGACTATCAACTATTGTACTGGTTTTACAAGAATTTCCAAGAAATCTTGAAGCTTAATAATCTTTGACGTATTCCACGAATACCGGATTAACGATTGTCGTTGCGATAAACACCAAGCCAACTTTATCATTGGAAGTTCTGTTCAGCTTACATTTTTCGCGTTTACATATTGAGAGTATGGAAAGGATCAATATTGATACTGGAAATATAATATTGGGTCATATAATATATGGAAATAATAATACTGAGTTGCTTTCGGCAGATGGAGGTTACCAGAAAAATAAGAAACAAGCTAAAATGAGCGATTTGGAAAACACAAATGGAAACAAACGACTAAAATATAGATCTATACGTAAAAGACTGCGTAAAAAATACCAAAGAACCATCACACAAATATAAATAGATAAACGACACTCAATAGTAACAGAGAAGCCATGGAGGAGGATTTTGATATGAGCATAGAAAAGTAAAAAAAATTAAGTACTTATAAACTTTATGAGGAAACTTTATCTAGAATTGAGTTCCTCTAGTCAAAAAATTCTGCAAATATTCGGAAGACTTTTAGAAGTTATTGACTTTTAGATAGGGCAAAAATTGCAATGAACACTATAATTGGCTGGTGTATCAAAAAAAAATTATGCTATTATGGTAGAAAACGTAATCAGGGACCCTATAGTTAAAATTATAGAGAGGCCGATAAAATGCAAAAAAAGTTCAAATACACATTACAAATTCGACGTGCACAGTTAAATTCACAGTTTCCTTTTCTTCTTCTTTTTGCATATACCTAGCACTACTAGGGTTAACTAGTCAACTATGCTTTATCAGCCTGTTCTATAACCACCACTAGATGTGGTGGATCTTTGAAGACAGCAGCATCCTCAGTTTTAGACGAGAAAACCAAGAGAAAGTAGCTAGGTTCATAAAAACAGGCATTATCAACTTCGTGGTATATGTAATATATTATTCGATTATATAGCAGGTACATTGCTTGGCTTCAAACCCGGAAAAAGGAACATTTGGTCATCTTCCCATCAAAAAGAAAGACTGGAAATGACAACGACAGACACTATTAATTTCATGACAGAACATGGTCCTAATTTAACACCATCACAACAGAAAACTAGCAGATGCAGACAAATCAGGAGACTATGAAAAGAAATGGACAAAACTAGAAACACTAAGTCCTTATTTGTCTTTCAACATATCCTTTGTTTAGGCTGCAAAAGAAAAGCTAACATTTTCTGAATAACTCTCGGAATCGTAAATGAATCAAATTGATCGGTGGAGTCGGGGCATGAGTTTACGACCAGAAATGATGGCAGCAATTAAACGCGATGGGATTTGTTACGATATGGTCACCATTACAAGCCGAAATTGTATTCATTCTCCATGAATATTCTTGCAGTCCGTTCAATCATCTCAGTTTGGGCTTTTCTCCCTATTTTATTCTTCAGGATTTTCTAACTTCAGGTTGCCCGTGGTACTTTATACACATGACAGCAGAAGCTTGAACCGATTCTACAGATATCATTTTCATTTCTTGAGAACTTTATTATTTTATGTTACAAGCTGACATCTAGAGTATGCTATAAGACCACAGTAGGCTGTATTTGTTTCCGTTAACTTACTCAGGTTTCTTTACTATATTATTAAATGTATATGCTATATGGATCATAAATATATTTGTTCACATACATTTGTTCACATCATCACAAGAGTGTCCTCATATTTAGTAGGAATAGGTAAATATATATTGAAGACTGGAATAAGAATTATCAATTAAAGTAGCCAAAAATTGTAAGGCTAGAGTAAGTCATTCTTGAGTAGAGATTGCTTTTCGAAATGTCTTATTTCTAAAAGCAATTTTGTGCTCAATAAACGACAACAAAAATTCAAAATCATTATGGTGCATCTTAACAAAATTTTTATACAATCCACTTACATATTGAAAATTGAAATCGACTAGTAAATTTGACGACACTGCTCTCTACTTGCGGATAACTTAGTCATCCGCACGTCGCGTCGTGCATTTAGCATCTTTTTTAAAGTGAGAAAAATAAAAATCTAAGCGACTCCTGCTATTTACTTCCCTCACCAAGACATACTGGAATATTTTGGAACACTATTTGCTCGTATCGATGCTCATTGCACATCTGATTTAGAATACATTGACATTGCGTTGGATCGTTGCATATCGTTTCATGATACCAGGATACACAACAAATGTTAATACCCATTATTTTTTTGGGATCCCAAAATACCGAGGGCTCCTATGGTTAGCCATACATAGGAGTCGCAGATTTTGGGTTTTAATTGGCTTTTGACTTTTCCTCCCCTCCCCCCTCCTATATCACCATCCCGACCTTATCCTTTTGTTTAATCGTTGTGCAACATAATACAGTGGCTTCTTCATTTTTCGACCTTTTAATTTTGTAATGCAGTGTGTGTTTAATTTGGTTTAATTTTCAAGTTTTTACACGTTTTGTAATACGTGTAAAACGTACATATCATACAGGAATTGTCTGTTTTCTTCGACCTTTTAATTTGTGATATAGTATGTGTTTATTTTAATTTCGTATTTTACACGCTTTAAATTCTACATACGTATTTAGTTACTTTTTAAATTTAGATATCAACATAAAAACATGTTATTTACATTTTTCGATCCAGTTGTTAAGACATTTTCGACACGTTGTCATGACTGATTGTAAAAATTGTTTTATCTCTAAAATCTGCCCAGTTGTGATTTTTAAACGGAATTTCGCCATTAGTTTATCAATATAATAGTTTCTGTTGTTCAAAAATTTTATTTTCAACTTGTACGTTACTCTGTAAGTATCATTTTATTTAGATTTAATTTACCTTAATTCTATAATCTAACATGTTTAAATTATCAAAAATTCAACTTTTGTAGCTATTCTGAAGATGTTTGCTAGGACATGTTTCGCCATGTTAATAAAGAGACGCATTATTATTATATAATACAAAAAAAAAATTTTTTTGCTAACCAGTAAAAGTGCAAAACTCACAAAAAACCTTTGTTACCTCTAAATTAAAGAAAAAACTGGTTAAAAAAATGGACTACAACATCAACTTCGACTACAATACATATTAAGTTAGCCATGATAAAGCAATTTGTAAAAGTGTTGGACAAGGAAGTATTTTAATTACATTTGTAGAAAATTTCCGAAGCTTAGTCTGGAAAAGTTGAAAGGTGGAATATTTGATGGTCCTTAAATACGGCAATTAATGAAAGACGCAGATTTTATTAAAGTTATGACTGCTCCGGAAAGTAAAGCTTGGAAAAGTTTTGTGTTGGTAGTCTAAAATTTCCTAAGTAACCATAAAGCAACAAATTATGAAGAAATTGTACAAAATATGCTGACAAACTTTCAGACTCTAGGAGCAAATATGAGTATCAAGTTACACTATCTCCGCAATCATCTGAGGAACAGGGAGAGCGGTTCCACCAGGATCTAAAAATGATGGAGGAAAGGTATCAGGG